CCCCAAAACCCCAAAACCCCAAAACCCCAGAATTTGACATTCAGAAATATTAAGCAATATGAAAAATAAATATAATTTTTTTCAAAGTCTAGAGGATTAATTAATCAAATTCATAAATGTCTAAGTAAAGATAAAAAATCTTTGGGGAAAAGAATCCATTCTACTTTAATTTTTAAGATGATAAGATGGATAAAAGAAAAGCAGCTTAGTATATATCGCCTTAGAAAAGGGAAGAAATGAAGTGATTCCTGGCCAGTTCTAGTATCAAGTTTTAGAATAGTATGGATTAAGTAGTTAAATGAAATTAATGCTGTAGCAGGTAATATGACTCACAGAGACAAAAATATTCCTAAAGTAGGGGGTAATGAGAAGTTCTTATTCGATAATGGCATGAGCAAATAAAGTCTGATAGCTAATATGAGTTTGGCGCTGCAAAGAAAGAAAAATCAAGACAGTAAGTAAATTAAAGCTAATCTATAATGTCTAACTTGCCCCTTTAGTGACATCAGCAAAACTTCTTGTTCGAAAGAAGGGTGACTAGTTTGTGACGGTCAATGGACAGTATCAAAATGATAATATACAAAATAAATTTGATCGACTGTCAGAAACGAAAAAGCAAGATGAGATGGGCAGGCATTACAAGCAGAGAAACCTTGGGAGTGAGATCACTCTGGGTTATAATACAGATTATAAATTACCAGTAGATTAAAGAACAACTAGGCATTTGTATCATGATAAGGATTTCTTTAAAAGTATTAAAGCTACTAACATAATTAAAGTCACAAGCTCTGATAGAGAATTCGCCTCTCAAAACAAGTTTAAAGAATCAAAGTAAAGCAAGGAATTCTCGCCATACCCTTAGCATGTAGAGAAAAGAAATATGAGAAATGATAGTTCGCTAAGTTTAAAGCAAGACTCTGAGAATATGAAATAAGAGATGGTGCTTAGGAAGAAACTGATAGGTTGGGCCTAGCAGAAAAACTAAATATCAATCTAGGGGCTAAGGAGTTTTAAGAAAAATCCAGAGATACCTAACCCTCCTCAACCACAGCAGTAGTCAGTTATATTAAAGAAACTAATGAATAAAAATTTTGAATCCTAGCAATCAAGAATAGGAAAGTAAATGGATGTTGCTTAGATCAGAGCATAGGCGATTATTAACAAAGAATCTTTGTATAGAAGTATAGCTGGAGACTTCTCAAGAGCAAGATCAATGATAAAGTCAAGTAATTACTAAGAAATTGATGAAAAGAAAAGGGCAAGCATTTATGGATCAAAATACTTCCAGATTGATAGCTATAATAATAGTCATAACAATCTGTAATCTAGAGCTGGAACTGATTTGAGAAACTAGGCTAAAATACCCATAAAATCAAACAGGATTGGAAATTTAACTAATTAAGGCACAAGTTTTAAGATAGGAGATTATAATTTCAAGCTCAATAATGCCAAGAAGACTTTCAGAACTACGTTTCAAGACTAGTATATCTAAAAGCAGATTAATAGTCTTGATAACTAGATGTGCAAAGAATCTCAAACCAGAAACGTTTCAATTCCTCTTAATAAAGCAAGAAACTTACCTAATTCATTCCTAACTTAGAGCAAGCAGGACTATTAGAATCTTTTTGAGTCTACTAATAGTCTAAATAAATCAATAAATTCAGCTACAAGTGAACAGCATAACTAGTACTCTAGACCTGGCAGAATATCTATAGACAAGATGATCCATAATTCCTAGATTAAGCTAGAATACAATACAGTTTATCATAATAAATATCGGGAGGGTCTAGGCATTAAATCTCTAAAGTAACTTAAAGATGATCATAACTTGAACAAGTCTTTGAAGAAAGATGTCTTAGACTCTCATTTCTAGCTTGGTGGAAGAAGCTTAGTCTCAGCAGATCTAAATTCACCATTGCACTTATTAGAAGCAGACAAAAGACTCACCTACTTTAAAGAAAAACCCTTTTCCAAAGAATAAAATGAATTAAGATCAAAATTTAAGGATAAGATTGAAAGGTAGAACTGGAATATCAAGCAATAGAAATCGCTTGATGTGTCCCAGGAGATGAGTCGAGATGCGAGTTATCATAAAATCAATAGGAGCTTGAGTGATATAGATCTCTACCGAAGTTCCAGACCTTAAAGCAACTTATCAATGACAGCTCATTTGAAGCAAAGTTCAAATTTCAATTTGGGATATTAAAGAAATTCAGATACAAATCGTATAATGAGGAACTCCACTAACTTTGATAGCAGTGCTAGTAATGTAGGATATAAGAATAGAGATGATGTGAGTCAGTTTAAGTAAAACTATGATATTAACCGCAATCATTAGAACAGAAAGACTAATTTAAATCTAGGTAGAAGTGCGTCTAAGTTTGAGACAAACTATAAAGATCAGTATCCTTGGCAAGTCCCCAAATACGAATTATGAAATTAACATTATTAAATTCAATAAATAAATAAATCTCTTAATTAGTCGGATTATGCAGATTTGTGGGCATGTGTATAATCACTTTTTACCAGGCTTGGAGGATTCCTTGCCTTTAGCTTTATTAGCAAACTTCTGTCTCTGTTTATTAATCTTAAGTTTTCTCTTCTTTTCTCCCATTCTTCTAAGTCTGTCGTTGACCTTCTCGTATTTCTTTTTACTGAACATCTTCTCGCTGTCCTCTTTAAGGAACTGCTCAGCAATTGAACCCTTTTGCTGCTTCTTGGTTAGCATCATATTCTAAGGTTCATTCTTATCAGCCACAACTGTACCTATCTGGAAATACTTAGGGAGTTTTTTTAGATCTGTTGACTTGTAGAATCTATTGGGGTAAATGAAGTTTCTAAGTTAAATGGCTTTTAGGTCAGCTTTGACCTCCTCAGTCAGCTCTTGTTTAGGCATGTAGCCCCAAGCCTTGCCTGCTGACTCCTCCTTCTTCTTCTGTCTTTCCTTTTTCTAAAGTTGTATATTGTTTAGTGGAGCGATTTGTTTAGCATTGGCAGGAATATTATTGAATATATTGAGTTTGTTATAAAGAGCTTCTGCCTTCTTCAAAGCCTCATCCTGTATGTTACTTGAGTCAGTTTTAGTGTCAAGATGCCTAGTCTTGCTGAATATACTTGGCTGATTCTCTTCTTCATCTATCAAGTATGTATTCTGCTATTTATTCTTGAATATACTCTATAGACTCTCAGGGATTAGTTCTCTAGGCTTGTTTTTCTTTTGATTTTATTACTACTGCTAATCATCACTGTCCTATTCATTATCAGATTGATCAATCTCATCGAAGTTGTCCTCTTGCTCTGAATGATCTGACTCATCTGACTCCTCTACCACTACTTTCTTCTATTTGATAATTTTCTTTCCCATTTTATATTAATTTATATTTATTATAAACTCGCAAATGATTACTTTAATAATAAACTAGCAAATTTACAAGGTCATCACATAAGATAGTACTTACTTAAAGTAATAAGAAATAAAGTTAAAAATATGATCAACTAATCTGCAAAGACCTTTTTACAAAGATAACTTGCCTTGACCCAGTTGAATCTCAGAGGGTTCGCTGTTGCTGCAAACCAATCAAAGCAAATTCACTTGTTGCTTTTCGGAGCTCCAGGTGTTGGCAAGGGTACATACTCAAAGCTAATCGAAAAGGATTTCGATATGCCTACTTTCTCAATGGGTGAGTATTTCAGAGGACTCATCAACAATCCATCTGCTGATTAAGCAGACCCATTCTTGAATCAAGTTAGAGGGATCCTCAGATCTGGCAAACTAGTAAATGACTAGACTGTGATCGATGTGGTTAAGAACATCAAGCTTTCAAAGAAATTTGATCAGCACTAAGGTATGCAGTTTGATGGTGTACCAAGAACTCTAAACCAAGCAAAGATGATGAGTGAGTTTTTAAAGATTGATCTAGTCATCAACTTCTTTAACAGAGACGACATCCTGCTAGAGAAATTGATGTCGAGAAGAGTGTGTCCTTCATGCAGCAAGAACTACAATGTTGCGAACATCAACAGAGATGGTTATCATATGAAACCTCTTCTACCCAAAAAAGATGTCTGCAAGTGTGATGTTTGTAATGTAAATCTTGTAATTAGAGACGATGATAAGGAATCTATCATCAAGGATAGAATGGATGTCTACCGTAATCAGACCCAACCAATTTTGGACTTCTATAAGAGTATCTCTCAGGAGACTAAGGTAATAGACTTCGAGGCCAAGAAAGGTATCGACGACTATCCAGAGATTAAGCAGATCTTAAAGGACACTCTTAAGATTTGAGAAAATAGCAGTATTCGTGGATGATAATATCCATTTATTTAAGCGATAAGTTTCATAACATGATTTATGGCTATAGATCTATTACAAGATTCGTCACTTCAGTCTCAGTTGTGATTTTTGTATCACGGGGTTTTGGGGTTTTGGGGAGATCGGAAGAGCACACGTCTGA